AGCCCGCCCGGCCGCCGTGTTCCCACGCTGCGCCCTGAAAGCCGCCAGGGACAACCAAGGTCCAGTCCTTCCAGCCGGGGAGCCCGAGCCGGCGTCACTCCATCTCCTTGGCCTGAAAGAGCTTGAGGATGTGGGTCTCGATAACCTGTTGGACTAAGGGGCACAGAGAGGAGAGACCCCGGTCAAGTTTCAAACAGGTGCAGTGGGAAAGCAGCCCTCTTATGAGCACACCAGCCACACAGCACCAACCCTGGGGGCCCTTGGGCCTTCTGCTTCCGGGTCCCCTCGAGAGTTGGCCATTTAAACTTGTTTCTGTTTGCTTTGTGGCTCTTAGTCCTGCTTCCGGGTCCCCTCGAGAGTTGGTCATTTAAACTTGTTTCTGTTTGCTTTGTCCCATACAGAATATCAGAACAACCAGACCAAAGGTCCATCCAGCCCAGTTTCCTGTCTGCCCACAGTAGCCAATGCCAGGTGCCCCAGGGAATGAACAGAACAGGGAACCATCAAGTGTCCCCCGTCGTCCATTCCCAGCTTCTGGCAAACAGCAGGGAGAGACAGGATTCCTACCCATTCTGAATAACAACCCTTGATGAACCTACCCTCCCCGTGAATGTATCTAGCTCTTTTTTGAACCTTGTTAAAGTCCTGGCCTGCACCACATCCTCTGGCGAGGAGTTCCACAGGTTGACGCTGCGCTGCGTGAAGAAAATCTCTTTGTTTGTTTTAAACCTGCTACCTATTCATTTTGTTTGCTGGCCCCTTGTTCTTAGCCAGCCCCTCCCTGCATTGGCCCCCGTGTGGGAGCTATGTCACCAGAGAGAATCTGACTTCTGGGCCAAACGCAGCGATCCGCAAAGTAGGCGCAGCTTGGAGTCATGTGGATAAGCACTCAGCACTGATTGGCCTTCTGGTTCTAGACAGCCCAAAGGAGGGGGCACTTGCCTTTCTTGTGTCCCAACGCCACAGCCAGATCCATGGGGGTGTAGCCGGAGTCTGCTTCCGTCGTCAGATCAGCACCGCGAGCTGAAAGCAGACAGGAGCAGGTGCTCAGGGGCTACAGAGACAACTCATCTCTGAGCAACGGTCTAGGACAAGCGTGGATAGTTTGATCAGCCCTGAGTGGGGTGAGGTGCCCACGCTGAGAACAGGACCAAATGTTCCTTCTATTTTTTTCCATCCGTGTGCAGAATAAATTTTGTTCTGTGCACCAAGCCATGGGTGGATGTGCACCACCACCAAACACAGCTGAGGGCGCTGTGCTAATCAGCTGGGTGGCATTTGAATCTCTCCTGGGCAGCTGCTCATGTGCTCAGCTTACAGGGAACACTGAACAGGTCAGAGCATTGCAAACACTTGTTTAGATGCCAGGGCTGAACAGGCTGGTGCAGGATACCCCCTGCTTTAGACCCGGGACAAGGACCAAGCACGGAAAACCTGCCGCAGTTTCAGTCCCAGATCTCTGACTTTGGCCCACCTGTGACATGCTGCTGCGTTTCCAGGAAGTCAACTGCTCGTCCCCAAACAATCCCACGCCAATCCCCACGCCCACCAGCCCCAGGTCGGCTCTTCCCAGCAGAATTAGCAATAAACAGTCCCTTAAAAAAGAATCAGCCCGCGCACATCTGTCTTGTTACCTAGTAACGCTTCCACGCACTTCACGTGGTTGCCACGCACAGCGTACAGCAGCGGGGTGCCTCCGTTCCGCAGGGGGGCAGGAAACCACAGCCATCCACTCTG